TCTAGAATATTTCCCTCCTACTATTCATGGGAGAACATTTGCTGGTTCAGAAATCCCATTTCTAGAAGAAGTATTTGGAACTAGGTGATCTTAAAGGTCCCTTCCAACCCAGACCATTCTATGATTCTTTGAAAAGAAATGCAAAATTGAATTTGCACTTTAAACACTTACAGCAGATTTTAATGGCTCATCAATGAATGACCAAATAAACTATGAATTTCAGCATATTTGACCAAGACTGTCAATAAACTAAGTTCAAGTTCCTAGAATGAGAGACTGGAATACTAATTTCTACATTAGCTGCTGTGCTGGAGTCCCCAGGAGAATAAGTACAAATTGGACATCTGTTGAATATACATTACAGCAGTATGTATGGGCAATGCACACTAGAAAAGAGCAAGGGAAATCTTGTGAATTTGCAGAAAAGTATTTTTACAGCTGTTGCAGATCTTAAAATCAGCTAGAGGAAGATTCTGTGTTCTTCCAAACTAGGAAGATGAATGTTTAAAAACCCCATTATTTTTAGAAAAAGGTAATGGTGAGTTTCCGAATGACCTTGGGAACCACGCACTTTTAACAGTTGAAGAGATGCAGTGCTGCTTCCCATGTTTCAGATTTATAAATGCTTTCACTCATGTGAGCACAAAGACAAACTGATGTTAAGTAGCCATTAGTTGTAGAGGTACGTGGCAATGGCAGGGGGGAGGAGCTTTAATGCCATCCTTAAACACTTTGCAATTGCTGAGCTGCTGTCTACGCAGTATTCAGTGCATTTCTGAAGGGCAAAAAATATCTCTTCCACCCATTAAGTATGTTCCTGTTCCCTGTACACAAGATAACTGCTTCCTTTGTTAGAAAATTTCTCTTCCGACTGTCTTGGAAAAAAGAAAAAGGAAAGTATTTGTATTAATTTTCCCTCTGAGTAACAAGTACCAAACCACAGGTGATAAATATGCTGAATGGCTGACTATTTCAGGTCAGTGGCATTACCATACAGAAAAAGGTGCTCATGCATAAGGACAGGCTCCAACCTGGGTCCCCAGATTGCTGTATTTCCCTTATCAGACAGGGGATCTAGCCACTGAAGAATTAATTTGGCAAAAATTTCATATCTTTTTTTCAGTACAAGACCCAGTGAAGGTCTATGGCAGCTTCAGCTTAACACAAGAATCTTAAATTGAAAAGTAGTTACCAAAGCTATGAAACTTATGTTCCAGATGTAACACAGCAAAATCTGCTTCTGGCAAAGTTGAGGTAAATGCCCACACTCACAAGCACAGCTCAAATTTGGTCACCTCAAGAGCTGCCCTGAACACATTGGATGCTTAGCTCTGCCCTTGCTCAGGTGAGGTGCAGATCTTCTGCACCAGGTTCCTTTGCCAGTAAGGAGTAGCTACAGTAAGACAAGAGAGGACATCTCTGCGGGAACCAAGTCAAGTCTGCAGGGGCTGGAGATCAGCACCAAAAATGGGTGTGCACCCTAATCCAGTTATAAGAAATGCTGTGCTGCTGTCACAGTGCTGCTGCTTCACAAGGAAGCTGTCAGCTCTGCCAGCTCGGGGGCTCAAACTCCATTATCCCAAAATTGCACTTTGGTCCTTCCCTGATGCTCCTGGGAATGACTGCTAAAATTCAAAAGGAGACCTTGTGAGTAGTATGGATGATGTCATGTTGTGGAAATGTCTTTCAGTAAATCACAGGTTTTGACTCATCTGAATTATGAATAATCACTCAGAGTATCTTTCAAAAGCAGTATTTATTTTTTTCATCAAGATAAGACACATTACATATTGCATAAAGTAAAATGTACTGCTAGGAAAGCTGCATTTAACTGAGATAACAAAAAAATATACATAGATTGCACTTGAGAAAGTAGACTCTATCCCAGAAGAATATAGTAAATAAAAAGCTAACAAGTGGTTTGAAATTAGGACTCTTTCTGAATTGCCTTTGAAAATATATTTATTTTGGAGGGTTCCAATTCCACCAATAAAACTGAATGAGATTAGGTTTCTTAATAGCTTTGATCTTTAAGTTAAAATAGTATGTAAACAAGATAATTATTACATGGACAAAAGAGGGAAAAAAAGTATGGAGAAACACCTTTGCAATTTCTGCTAATAAATAAAAAGGAAAAAATTTGCTGATATTTGGTTTCACCAGAGTCACTGAAGCTTAGGGCTAGGGTCCTGGGGACTTTTTCTTAGTTCACATGTATGTTAGCACACCCACACTGCAAAACAAAGCCCCTCTTTGACCCTCCTGCAGTGGTCGGGTGCACGCTGTCTGTATGGCAGCTTGAAGCAGTGAATGGCTCCATTAATTACTAAGTGTCCCTGGAGTAATACTTTAAATTTTGCGACAAGTTTAGCCTATATCTAAGAAAGTAAACCCATCATTAGGCAAGAGGATTTTTTTACCTTTATCTGAATTTTTCTGCTGGACCCTGGCATCCACTGCTGCCTTTATCTAGTTCAGTCAGCTGAACTATCAACTGTTCAGTCTTCAAAAGGAGTTTTCACACTATCTACCTCTGTGTATCCAAATCAGATTTCTAATCTTTCTATACAGTCAAAAGAGAAAGAAAACTCCACACTGGGCTATTTCAGCCTTGGGGCTAAGGCAAATTATGGGAGAGCCTCTCCCAAATGCCCGTAGGGGTAACTCAGGCTCTCAGATGTGGCTGGATCCCCGGATTAGGAGGCATAAACACCCCTCTCAACACGTGGCTGTTGGGGTGGTACTGAGTGAGCAGGTAGTGGTGTGTGGTACACGCCTGGCCCAGTGGGTGCCTGCTGCACAGCTTTCCCTGGGGGTGTGAATTAAGGACCACTCAGAGCACAAAGCCTTGTGAAACTGATGTTTCCTACAACCAATGCTAACTAGAAGTCAGGCATAATTCAGTCAGTGATATACACTGGAGTACAACTGTCTTAAAAACAATCCATACTGCCAAGGTCTCGCATGCAAATTTCTTCCAAACTTAGCTAAAAATTATGGAAGGGCTGGGTCAATCTTGTTATTAAGCTAGAGACAGAAAAAGTATGAGATGTTCTTTAAATAACCCTGAACTACAAAATAAAGCTGGTAATCTTTGGTTACAGGACTTTTCTTTAATGCGAATTGCTTTGAAAAGTGATGAATCACTTCCCAAGTAAGCATTCAGGAGCATTTTTAAATAGACATCTGGGAGCCAGAGAGGAAAAATTAATATAAATAACAAACCCCCAAACTTTCTGAATCTCAAAGGCTAAAGCACAGGAAAGAAAGTAACACAACATTTCTAAGGGATCTTTTAGCAAAGTTTTGCTAAAATTACAAAAAAATCACAAAATACTTGAGCTGATGAAGAGGGTAAGTCAGAATATTAGAACACTTTTGTAACAAACCTGTAGAGTGCTAAAACATACTGGTTTGAAAGCCTTATACTACTTTATATCACTTGCCAGTTTCCACTAATTATAACTCACTACTGTAGAACTACTTCACTCTTTCAGAGAGACAGAAGGACACGAGGCAACATGGATGATTCAATGCAGCCTATGTCTACTATTAAATACAAAACCTCAGCCATTAAATGTGTCACCCTATTCCCTCTGTTACATTCATGATCAAAACTCCAATTTTTCACCAGACTTAAATCTGCCTGTATTTTTGCACTTTTGGAGCAGCATTTAAAAATCCTTAAAGCTAGTTTGGAAGGATTTTTTTTCCTTTTTCAGTTAGAGCACTTTCATATTATTTTAAAAGCCATAGGAAGTTATGCTGTAGCTTTTAAAGTGCTAATTTTATTATGAGGTGCTGTTTAATAATATTCTTCTGCAAATTAACAAATGATGCACATTTTCCATGACAGACAGACATTGCTTAATGAGTTAATGTGCTTCAGAAAAATGCAATCAAAAAGAGATTCACTGTCAACAGTTTACCCATGGCAATACACAGAGCTGGAATGCGACAACTAACCTCAGATAACTAAAATTAATGCGTATATGACAAAGTTATAATAATCCATATTTAAAACAAACAAACAAACAAGCAAACCCCAAACCAAATAATGATAATTAAATCTCAAACACAGTTTTGTTTCTCAGTAACACAACTGCAAAACAAATCAATATTTTCAACAAACAAGTGCCCTATCTTCATCTCCTCCATCTCCTCAAACTGCTGTGAAGAGGATACAAGAGGAGGGCTGTCTCCCTTTTTGTGTAGAGGGGACTCCTCCTGGGCAACTGTGGGCCACTCTGGGCAAGGAGTAGGAGTCCAGACCAGGCAGATAGTGCCCAGAATCAGTCCCAGCCTACAGGGATTCACCTGGGGACCGGGTGGGAGCCCTCTCTTGCAGAAGCGCCTGGGCAATGGCTCCCATGGAGTCACCAGGGGAAAAGCACCAGCCTCCACACCCCCCTACCACCATCAGTGTCCTGGCTTATGCAAAGCTAATTTCAGCACATGATTTGCTCAAGTACAAACAGTGAGATTTGACTTTACTGGTGTGTTATTTCATGTAGTGATGGATTTTCTGCATTCTGTCTCACTCTGCTGGGCCAGAATGCTGGGAAGGTCCCTCTGAGAGTGGGGCAAATTTTGCACTCATACAGGCTCAAATTCTCTCTTCGTTTATACCCACAAAACCCTACTGACTACCAGGAGAGCTGAGGAGGTAGAAATGGCAGCAGAATTTGAGTGTAGGAACTGGTGAGTGAGAAGCAAACACAAAGCTATTTCAACCTACAACTCCCTGAACGGAGGTTGTAGCCAGGTGGGGGTTGGTCTCTTCTCCCAGGCAGCTATCAGTATGACAAGAGGGCATGGTTTTAAGCTGTGCCAGGGGAGGTTTAGGTTAGATATTAAGAAGAAATTCTTTACAGAGAGGGTAATCAGGCATTGGAATTGGCTGCCCAGGGAAGTGGTGGATTCTCCGTCCCTGGAGGTTTTTAAGATGAGACTGGATGTGGCACTTAGTGCTATGGTCTAGTAACCGTGGTGGTAGTGGATCAAGAGCTGGACTTGATGATCTCAGAGGTCCTTTCCAACCCAGCTGATTATATGATTCTACGATTCTATGATTCATTGCCAGCTACAACAAATACCTATGCACCTGGTGTTTAATTTCAGTGCGCATTGTGTGCCTAAGGACTGCAACTGAGCTTTTAAAATCTCAACCCTCAGAATCTAGCTACAGATAACCATAATCTTATATTCTTGGATGCTGATATATAAACCTATGATATACCTGTTTAGTTGCCATGGCACTAATCAGCACAGCTATGCTGAAACAGAGAGATCATGTTTGCTAATTGCAAAGGCAGGCTAGTAGCAAATTTCAAATGATTAGCGAGTAAAGGTCCTCAGAGCAATCCTGCTTAAAAGTAAACATCCGGTAAAATGCAATTAGTGTGTCTTTTTTTTTTGTTTGTGTCTTTCTTTCTTCCTCTCTCTTTCTTTCTTTTTTTTTCTCTCTTTTTTTTTTTATCGGGGTGGTCTTGAACTGCAGATGCAATCACAACGCTCATGGTGATCCAGCTGTATATCAACTAATGCCATGTTGTTCCTGATTCTGCCTTTTCTTCTGGTATGCCCAGCCTCAGGGACGAATTTCAGCACCTGGGAGGATCAACAGAAATGCATTGATTAGAAAACACTGTTGGAGATTTGAGGATGAGAGTGCTGGGGCCCTGAGGGCACCAACAGTCCTTAATGGTCAGCATTAATTTGGATACATTTTTTGTTTTACTTCCAGATTTTTCTTTACACTCTTTGACATCTTACTGTACTGTTTGTCCTGGAGCTTTGACAGACTGGATTATTTTCTACATCAGGTATCTTTATATCATGCAGTCTCCTAACCATATCCAGAGTTGCTCCTTTGCATGTGAATTATCAAGCATATTTCCTTTGGCTCATCTTTGCAGTCCCATACATATTTGAGTTGCTCTGCCCCTTCTCTCCATTGTATAATATTTCTCCTCTAAAGAACAAGTAATTTTTTTGTGCAATTTGAAATTTCTGAAGCACATATCATTAGAATTGTCTCAAAAATTAAATACTTGTGGAAGACAAAAGGAGATGAGGGAGCTTACACAAAATATGTGCGAGATCTCATCGAGTTTCTGTGGAATCTGACTTCTACTGGCTTATATTAAAAATCTCTGCCTCAACCTAAATGATTTCTGAAGAATTTACTGTGAATAATCTTAAACAAACAAGTAAACAAAATTATTTCCTAGGTAAGTATACATCATACAAGAGGCTTCTGAAAAAAATCTAGATAGGCAAGATAGAGACCCCTAAGAAAGGGGGTTGTAGGTCACAAAAAAAAAAGAGAAAAATGAGAAAGAGGCACAAGTTGCAACCAAAAAAATCCTATTTGAGTATAAGGAAGAAAATACTGAATGTTTAAAACATTGGAGCAGGTTGTCTAGAGAGGCTGTAGAAACCTTGAAGACAGACAGAATTAACAGGATGAGACCCCGAGCAACCTCATCTAGCTTGTAAATTCTCCCTGCTTTTAATCAGCAATTGGGCTAGATGACCCTCAGAGATGCCTTCCAACCCGTATTATGATACGAACCTATGATTCTCTGAAAATGATCTTGTGAATATGTGCATAAGACCCATAATGTTGCATCCTATCTAATCTTCTGTGGTAGCGTATGTAAACCATGGACTGGAAAAGCTGAGGAGGATGGTGGTTTGCAGGGACATGCTTTGTGAGCCCACCACTGGAGGCTGAGTTGCTGTGTAAGACGTCATACCCACACTAGCATGGGGACATAGGTTGAGGGGAGAAAATCTGTTTTGTTTCATTAGTTTGCTGTTCGTGGCCTACAGTAGTTTAACAAAAGATATATTAATTTATAATTTCAGTCCTGAAGCTTAAATACTAGTTTGGATTAGGCACAATGAATGAGTTAAGATTAAGAACACCCTAAATCTCCTAAAGCATTTTTCTTCCCAAATCTCACAGCACATTGCCCAGAGAGATATGTATAATTATCAAACTTGCATAGATGGAGAATCTGAAACTGATTTGCTCGAGGCTCTGCAACACATCAGTAGAAAAACTGCCAGTGGCATTACCAGATCCTTTCCATTTTGAAATCACTTATTTACTGATGGGGAGCAGGACATGGAGATAGCAAGGCTACAGCTCCACAGCTGGCGGTAAGCAGGTGGGTAGGTTCAGCTCAGTCTAGCCTCAAGCCCTTCAGTCCAGAAACCATGCACTGGTAAGGTACTAGAGCTAGCATGTCTCACCTCTTGGCAGGCTGATGTGACTCATGCTAGCTTGGCCAAGTGACTGCTAGATCAGCTAGATTTCTCTTTCTTGTTCAAAAGAGGGAGAGACATCTGTTAAGTGTATGACCTACCAAAGTCACTGGACAAATGGGAAGTGGGACCAAGACATTTTTAGCACCTCAACCTCTGAAACACCCACACTTCTGCCTTAAATAACAGGTCCCCTAACTGTAGATCATACTGTTACTCAACAATCCTTTTTTTTCTTTACAATGTACTTTCTGTACTTTGACATTGTAACACCATACAAGCATTGAGATGGTTTGGAAAGGACAGAGACTGCATACCACATTAACAAAGTATTAGCATTTTCAACAGAATTAGAAAATCCCCAGAAGTAAGTGTGAATGACTTGCCAAAGGAGAACCATAGATGCTGTGCAGAGTAGTTGGGGAAGGGCAGACAGGTTAGCAACATTTGGGATGATACCATTCATTCTCTACCATTAATGTCTTGAGGCTAGAAAAGTCATGGGATATAACAAAAGTGATTAGTGCTGAACACAGTCTATTATTTTGTCCTCCCTTTTGTGATAAACTTTATATTTAGCCTATGTAATACTGAGACGAAGAACTGTGCCTAGGCAAGACATAGACCTGCTGCTTTATTGTGTTGGAAAAATAGAATTACTTTTCCCTCTTAGAAACACAGAGACATGTTTTTTGGTTGGTTTTTTTTTAAGCAACAAAAATATTGTATCTTTCAAATTATTTGAAACATTGACTGCATCGATACATGCAATAAATCCTGATGGACACAGGACAATATGCTGTACCACACAGTTACCCAAAACACAAAGGAATTGAACCCAATCAGGTTGTTGCAATTCCTACAGAGATAAAAATAGACCACAGCTCCAAAGATGCTTTTTTAAAGAAAACATATTTTTAAAATCAAGTACAAATGCTAACATTGAACCCATGATAAAATTCCTTATTTAAAGAACCATTCCAGCAAAATCTAACAAATCCAGATGACTGGCACTTTGCAAGGTCGTGGGTAGCTAGACCTGATTTTTCCAATTGAGAGCAAATGAAAGTAGGCAATGGGATGAGAGCAAAGATGTGGACTGTATTTAAGTTAACAGACCATCTGACAGCTTGGGGACTTTCCCTGTGTTTTTTATTAAGAAGCATGAGCACAGTATATGGGCTTTGCTGATAAGAAAATGAACTGTCAGACACTTCACCAGATAGGAAAGCAGTGATTGAACACAGCTGAATTTATAGAATCATAGAATCATTTAGGCTGGGAGAGACCTCTGAGATCATCAGGTCCAACTGCTAACCCAGCACTGCCAAGTCAACCACTAAATTGTGTCCTCTAATGCCACATCCACATGCTTTTTAAACACATCCAGCAATGGTGACCACTTCCCTGGGCATCCTGTTTCAATGTTTGACCACCCTTGCAGTGAAGAAATTTTCCCTCATATCTGATCTAAATGTCCCCTGGTGAAACTTAAGACCATTTCGTCTTTTCCTGTCACTTGTTACCTGTGAGAAGAGACCAACCCCCACCTTGCTACAACCTCCTTTCAGGCAGTTGTAGAGAGTGATAAGGTCCCCCGTGAGACTCCTTTTCTCCACGATGAACAACCCCAGCTCCCTCAGCTGCTCCTCATCAGACCTGTGCTCCAGACCCTTCACCAGCATTACTGCCCTTCTCTGGACTTGCTCCAGCACCTCAATGCCTCTCTTGTAGTGGGGGGCCAAAACTGAACACAGGATTCGAGCTCATGTTCAGCAGCTGTTGACAAGCACCCCGAGCTCTTTTCCCTCTGGGCAGCTTTCCAGACACTGCCCCCAGCCTGCAGCACTGCCTGAGGTTGGTGTGACCCAAGTGCAGGACCCGGCATTTGGCCTTGTTGAACCTCATACAGTTTGCCTTAGCCCATCAATCCAGCCTGTCCAGATCCCTCCGTAGAACTGCTTTAACAGCTGATCACAGAACTGATATTCAAAACTCTCTGTCTCATATCTACCTAATAGTTTTATTTTCAGCTAAATATAAGAGAATTGAAAATTCCCTGGAAGGAAAGGCCATTTCTGGTGACCACAGTAGGTGAAAGAAAACTCTTTATTCTGAAAATAGCTGCTGTTTATTCATCACATGGTCAGGTCCTTAAAGGTGAGGAGCTACTGAATTAATGGAAACTGTTCAAAGAAATCCTGTTCAGGAAACTTTATTGCTCCTTTTTAGATGGGATCAGTAGCTGTAAGAAAATATAGATATGACAAGGTCTGGAATGCTCAAAAGTTTTTTTTTTTTTGTGTGGGTGGAAAAGAAGAATAACCTTGCAGTTTTCAAATTAAAGAATCAATGTCTGTCACTACTCATCAAACTGTGGTGCCTCAGCTCTTCAGATTGCCTCACAAAGAGCATATAACTACAGCCATATCCCTCTCATCAAACACTGAATAAATTATGATCATAAAACTATTAAAACAGATAAAATCAAGACAGATTATTTAGCTTCTGAGGTGGATTTGTTGTTTATAGGTAATATAAAAAAAGGGGAACAGGACAGGTTTTTTGCAGAAATCCCCATAAGAGCACACCAATATGCTGGATGGCATTTTACTTTGTAGATATGCCTGAGCATCTGAGAAGTTTCAAGGTGAGATGACTGTAGCCACTGCATAACTTCCCTTCAGAGTGGTGCTGTAGGAAATATAAAGAAAATGCTTACAAAAATTTCCTTGCCAGCAATCTTGTTCATTGATCATGTATTGAATTTGGATGCCAGCTTTTGAAAGTGTCTTTAAATGGGAGAGCAAAGCCATCGCAAAAACCAGGATCTGGAAGCTGAAGCCAGAAGTCATTGAAGTGGAATTAGGGCACATTTGTTTAAGTCAGGCCAACTCATCACCTCGACAGCTCTCCAAGGAACTCTGGGGTTTCCAGCCTGTTTGAGGGTTGCCTTTCCAGGAGGTGTACAGTACCAACTTGGGTCATGCTCTGGAGGTAGCAGGGTGCTCTCCAGTGTCCTGTGGAGCACAGGAGGTCAGGGCTGACGGCCCCTATCATCTCAGCAGATCTGTAAGAACACTTCAAGATCAGGGGCCGAGGAGAGCAGAGTGGCGATGACTGCCAGGAAAATGACCCAGCTGGAGATAACCTGTTCACCCTGACCCATACCTGGCATGTCTCCAGTAGAAGCCACAACAAAGCAGCGACTCCAGAGAATGAGTCACCTGAAACACCCACCTCTGGTGAGTCTATCTTTGGTAACCAGGAAAGGAGCCCAAAGCTTGGACTTGCAGCTTTAGATGGGTAGAGCCAGATGAGGTGAACCATCCTTT